GACAAGCCTTGGAAAGTTGACACTATCTCTTTTTTCCTCCCTCTATGCGAAGGATATATTTAATGAATTGATCAATGGGACAGTTTGTCAACCATGGGTATTGGGTGCTTCACTATCTAATATTGCCATGTGAATGTTGTATACAGTTGTAAGGCTGTGTCACTAAAGATTTTTATTCTGATTTTTCATTATCAAAGGTCATATGATGTTTATAGATATGCTTTGTAGTGAACTATAGTAGCAATAATTTCTGTACATGATCAAGAGTTTATTGCATTTCTTTTCCTGTTCTCTCCTCACTCTCTTTTTAAGGGTTAGCATTAACAAATGGCAAGGAGTAGAAAAGTCAACATAAAGATTTTAGAAGGAGAACTTCTAAGACGCAAATTTGTGATTCTTAGATGTGACACTGTTTGATGGGATTCTAAAATCTTTTATTGAGCATTGTCAAATTTGTAAGCTTCATAGGGATGGACATCATATTTATAATGCCCTTCTGTGTGCTACCATAGATGTGAAATTCTTGACCTTAATACTGTCTTTGAAAATGTTAATTTGGGAATTCTGTTAACTTATATTTTATGGATTGCCTCATTGTATTACTTACTGCAAGAAATATTTGATTTTCAGCACAGTGGAAAAGTTCTTTAAAATGCCTATGTCTTTTTTTTCTAATTTCATTTTGTTTTAAAGCACATTTTAAATGTAGTTTTCTCGTTTAGTAAAAGTTGTCTAATTGAAAAAAAAAAGAAATATTATTGGTATTTTGATTGGGATTGCGTTAAATCTGTATATCAGTTTTGAGAGTGTGGCTATTTTAACTATATTGGTTCTGCCTATCCAGAAACGGGATACTTTCCATTTTATGATGTCCTCTTTGATCTCCTTTTTCAGAGTACTATAGTTTTCATTGTAGAGGTCTTTCATTTCCTTGGTTAGGTTAATTCCTAAGTATTTCATTTTTCTTGATGCTGTTGTGAAAGGTATTGTTTCCCTAATTTCTTTCTCAGTGAGTTTGTTATTGATGTACAGGAATGCTATTGATTTTTGAGAGTTGTCTTTATAGCCTGCTACCCTATTGAATTTGGTTATTAATTCTAGGACTTTTTTGGTGGAGTTTTTGTTGTTGTTTTTGTTTTGTTTTGACTTTTTTGAGACAATGTCTCACTGTAGTCCAGGCTGGTCCTGAACTCACTATGTGGCCCAGGCTGACCTTGAACTCACAGCACTCCTTCTTCAGCCTCTCAAGTGCTGGGATTACAGGTGTGTGCCACCACGTCCAGCTTTAGTGGAGCTTTTAGGGTCTTCTATATAGAGAATCATGCCATTTGCAAAATAATGATAATTTAGTTTCTTCTTTCCCTAGCCATATCACTTTTATTTCGTTTTCCTGTCTAGTTGCTGTAGCTAGTATTATTTTGAGAATTATGTTGAACTGAAGTGTTGATAGCAGATATCCTTGTCTTGTTCCTGAATTTAGAGGAAAAGCTTTCAGCTTCTTACTGTTAAGTATGATGTTGACCATTGGATTGTCCTAGATGGACTTTATCAGATTAAGATAAAGAATCTTGCAGCACCTGCCTGGCAAGTGAAAGGTCCTGAGTTCAATTCCTGAAACCTGAAAAAAAAGATAAAGATTCTCTGTTCCTATTTTCTGTTTTTTGGATACCTGAGATCGAACTCGGGACCTTGTGCTTGAGAGGCAGGCGCCAGAACCACTGAGCTAAAGCTCCGGCCAATTCCTGTTTTCTTAAGAGGTTTTTTTTTTTTTTTTAATCATGAATGGATGCTGAACTTTGTCCACTGCTTTTTCTGCACCTATTGAGATGATCATATGGTTTTTCAGATGCCCCAAGATCAACAAAACTCATCTGAGCATTATACTAGTTTTACTGTTTATAACTTGATTCACCTTTTCAGCTATATTTTCAGTGAAGATTTTGGTTTCCAGCCCAAAGTCATTTTTGGTTTATTGCTTCTAAGAATGCATTGGTGCTACTGGCTTGTCCAGTGAACTAAGGCTATGGTGGAAATCCTGTATTAAAGGCCTTCTTTTTCGTTTGTTTGGTTCTGTTTTTGAGACAGGGTCTGGCTGTGTAGTTCAGTCTGGCCTTGTACTCATTATGTAACCCAGACTGGCCTCGAATTCATGGTGATCCTCCTGCCAAATGCTGGGATTATAGGCATGCACCACCCCACCTGGCTCTTAAAAACCATGTTTGTGTATACATCTTTCTTGTTGGACTGCAAATACATACTTGTCTTTCTAGCAAAATATTTTAGGAATCCAGAAAGTGTGTGAAACTTGGAGGCAGTTATAATGAGTATACAGACTATAATATAATCATTCCTATCTAGTTTTGAATATTAGTGATAAGGTTTCTCTATACCGTGCATGTGCTAAAGATAATAGTTGAACATAGTATCTGCCAAAAGATTGAGATGATTATAAAAGACTTTTATGGCATCAGACCAAACACAATGCTGCAAATCATAAAATTTTATCACAGGGATCCATGTTTAAGGAATTTAAATTTTTTTTCTATTGTTATTTTTCATTTTGAGAGTGTCAGAAAGGAAATTGAATGCAGTAATATCTTTGATATTTAATTAGGCAATTGTATTTGTTCTGAAAGCAACGTGAAAATATCCTTATCTAATTTTAGAAGTGGATTGCTAATAATAATATACTAAAGAAGCAAAGCTCATTCTGTTTCCAGAACTAGAATGTTCCTTATGCCCTCAAGTATGAAAAGCTGTTAGGCTGAATTTGGTACATTCATAGGAACTGTCTCCTTGTTTTTAATTGAACAACTGATTTAAAAGATCCAGAGGCAAACAGAAATTTAGGTAAAAGTAAGCTAATCTCTGGGTTCTTTTCCATCATTAGTCATCCTAAAACAGTTGATTATTTGATTAATAGGCTTGAAAGTTTGAATGTCTGTCTGGAAGATAGATAAGTAAATAACCTGGAATTGAGTTTTAGTCTGTGAAGGCATATTTCAGCTCTGAATGTCTTACTTAGGGACTTGTCACCCAAAAAAAAACAGTGTAGAAACCATCATAAACAGGGCCAGAGATTTAGCTCAGTGGTTCCGCCTCCTGCCTCACAAGCTCAAGGTCCCGAGTTCGATCTCCAGTACCAAGAAAAGAAAAAAGAAACTATCATAAACATAGAGCTAAGGCTTAAAATCAAGAGGCCTAAATCTGTTCCATGTAAATTACTTTCTATTTTGGATCTTCTCTATTAAATGGGAAATCATTTTTTACAAGTTTCCTACTCAGATATGAAATTGGCTGGGGGTGTAGGGGGGATGTACATAGGTAGAGAGAAAGAGAGAGAAATCCCCCTCTTTAACCTCTAGGTCCCTTGGCTCTCCCTGAAATATTTCTCTGAGCCTTTATTTGAATGTACTATGAAACCTGCAGAACAATTAAAGGTGACAATCCCTTAGTGTTCACCATGCATTGCTAAGTGTAACCACTACTAAAATATTCTACACAATTAACTCTGCCCTCCAATATAAAGAGAATTCAGTAGCTAAGTGAGAGCGAAGGTCTTTTCTGCTTCACTTTCTTGCTTGCAGGGCCAGGGATTTAGCTTAGTGGTTCTGCCGCCTGCCTCACAAGCACAAGGTCCCGAGATTGATCCCCGGTGCCCCCCCCCAAAAAAGAACATTCTCTTGCTTGTAGTAGACCAGTCTCTTTGAGAAGTACTTACAGTTTAGAGAAGAAGTTGGAGATTTCCCTGGAGCAGTATTTGGCAGTAGTCTTGTGGCCCCAAATGCAAGACAGAAACCTTTTGTAGCTGACCCTGGTAAGAAAGAACAGTTAAAGGATAGGGAGGGAGAGTGACTGAAGGTTGGGAAGGCAAGATAGTAGACTCCTTTTGATAAGTTTGGATTTGTCAGGACTCTCACAGAGGGTGAAATCTGCTTTGAGAGCAGAAAACCCACCACTGAAGATGTTACCTAAAATGTTTACCTTCAAATTTAAATATGGATTAGGTTATAAAAGACGCCATCCTAATTAGGTTGTGGATACAAAATTTGGATTTATTGCTAAGTTTCTTGTAAAAGAGTAGTGAAAGTTTGCTCCAGAGGCTTACTTTTCAAATTTAGTGTTTAGCAACTTGTTTTGGTAAAAAGCTTGCAAACCTAATGTGAGAAAGGAAAATGAGCTCTAGCCAAATCTGAGGAAAATCATGCACTGCAAGGTTTTGACCTTTGTGGTGTACAGCAAATGCCAGACACTCAGTAATCTTATACCTAAAATATAGAGAAATTAACTTTGAAGGGGAAATAAAAGGGAAAAAAAGGTTATTGAAGACATAGCTGAAGGAATACTTCCAGGTGAGAGGTGAACATTAATGGTACAAGTTACAAAGACTTACAAAATTGTAAACTCTACTGAGTTTACAAAACTGTACAAACTGTACTTATAAAGTGAGACTTTACAGGGCCAGGGATTTAGCTTAGTGGTTTCGCCGCCTGCTACGCAAGTGCAATGACCCAAGTTCGATCCCCAGTACCAAAAAAAAAAAAAAGTGAGACTTTACAAAACTGTAAAATTAGCACAACCATCTGATGAGCTTTTTTTATCTTTTTTTTTAACCTATTATGTCACAGTTATTCTCCAAAATTTTTCTTTGTATATCCTTTTATTGGTACATTTTAGGTGGAGCTATTTTGATCTTTAAGATTTAAAATTAAGTAGAAAATTTTATATCCTTTTGTCATAAACAACAAAAGCCACTGAGGTTCCATCCCAGAGAAATGTCCTTTTAATTTCTTGCTTCCCCTGGCCCCACAGCTTGGCCTTGTGAGAGAGAGCCCTTCTTGTTGGATTTACTTAAGCTTGAAGTATCGATTGTTTGTGTCCACTCCCCTTGGGTCTCACTGTGCTTATCAGAAATGATAGTCCCTTTGCCCTTATCATTTACTTGCTTCCTCTAGTGATGCTGGTAATTATTAATACAGTATAAATGTCTTTTCTTTCAGTCCTCCTCGCCCCCTGACTAATCTGAATGACACCATGGCTAGCCACATGTCCTCTGGAGTACCCACTCCCACCAAGAGGTATGTATGTCTGATGCCTCAGAGCTGGGGACGGGTCTCAGCCACTGATTTGCTGTGGTCCCTTCAGAAATAAAGCCCAAGAAGCAGAGGATTCTGAGGGACAGAAAGGACTGGCATTCTTTCCTGCTCTGGCTGCCTTGTAATATTATTTTCTGCTGTTTCCTCCTCTTTTTCCCCTGACTGTTGTGTACACACAGCAGTTAGTTTGGCTGAGTAGTGTCTCAGGCAGAAACTTCATTGTGATGAGCAGCAAATATGGTGTCAAAGCAGATTAGGAATGTTTGAGATCTTTTATTAACATTAGACAATACTTTAATAATGTGAATTTCAGCAATTTTCTATTTGATTTCTTTGAGTGTCAAAGATTGTTTCTGCTTCTGATTAGACTGTGTACATTGAAGTAATCCCTTATAAAATATCCTTTTAAGTCTTTCCGTATGTGAGTCATATTCATTTAAGTTGAAAAGCATAAATTCTTCTTTCTTAGTTATACAAAGAGTTTGCTTTAGGGTCCTTCAAGGAACAAGAACTCTGTGTTTTCCTTTTTATTTAATTTTCTCCAAAATTCTCTTAGGCAGGACTTAAAAGATAGCATCCTTTGTTTTTGATGTAAACTGTTCCTTGACCAGAGCAATGCAGAAAATCCCTTACAGCCACAACCATTAAAGAATTCTAAGAGTCATCACTCAAAAAGAAAAACACCACAAAGACATCCCAACCCAGCTGGCACATCCTTCCTGGAAAAAAACACTTTGTGCCGTATGTACTGATCGCCTTGGATTAGGTCAACCATAGAAATGTCATCTGCTTAATAATAATCTGACTCAATGTATAATACTTAAAGTCAATGATGTTTGTTCCCATTGGCTAAAACTCCTAGAGCAACATTTCACAAACCTGACTGATGAGAAGAATCTTCCAGGACACTTGTTAAAAATACACATTTCTAGGACCACGTCAGGTCCAATGAATCAAAATCTCTAACGATAGAATCCTGAGAGGCTGCCAGTTTTTACAAATATTCCAGGTGATTCTTATCATCAAGCAAGTTTGCGAAATAACCTTAGTAGGAAGCAAAGAAGTCAGTTGTAAGGCTTCTTAGGGACTGAATAAGTCAATGACCTGAGGGCACCTGCCTACAGCCTTGTTAGGATGCTTCTAGGAGAGAGGTACCCGAGCTGCCCGAAACAGGCAATGTGGTGTCATGTGCTGGAGCACAGGCATTAGCCAGACTGCCTGAGTTTGGACCCTGGATCTTGCCTTACCTTGAACATGTTTCATTTCTGCAGTGTTTATACCTAAAATGGAGGCAGTGATAATATCTACTTTGTGGGATTTATGAGAGGATTTTAATATATTGTCTTTATTAGTTTGGAAGTAACAAATGACCAGTGAAGCAGAGACAGAGAATAACTTAGGAGTACAGCCTGCTTAAGGAGTGACAGAAAGTATGTGGAAAAATATGAAGCAGTGAAATATTTCTCAGCTACCTGCATGGATATCCTACCTGGATATGACTGTAACCCCACCTGTCCTTAGTCTTGAGTTTTCATGTGAAACACCCATGCCATTGGGACCCAGATTCTGAGTCAAGGGTGTTTCCACTTCAAAACCAGGAAAACAAAGTAGATTGTTGGAAGAATTAGGCTTGTAGGTTTTATGTTAATTAGGAGTTCATTAATTAGGAGTTCATTCATTTGAGTTCTTTTTTGTTTAATAGTTTTGTTCTTCTGGACACCAAGACTAAGATGCATGACGTTGAGTGGCCCCAGCTGAGTATGGCTGTTAGAGGCTGATAGACAGAGTGTGTCTTTCTGGCAATGTTTTATTTCTGAAAAAGACTGATAGGAGGGACTCAGAACCCAGAATAACCACAATCACTTTTGTAGAAGGACTAACCTTAGACTTGCTGTATTAGGGCCAAGGCTTAATTATAAGTGGCCAGCTGCTTGTCAGTTCCAAAATGGTATCTGCCTTTTTTAAAGATGCTTCAGAAAATATAGTATAGTCTAGATTAGGAATTTTTTGTTTGGTACCAGGGATCGAACTTGGGTCCTTGCACTTGCACAGCAGGCGGCGAAACCACTGAGCTAAATCCCCAGGACTTTATTTTAGAGTCAGCATTTCAGCTAGCAGCTCATTCTGGATGGAAGTAATCAATCCTAGAGCTGACTGCCACAAATTACCCAGGGCTACCAGCAAACCAGAGGCACCAGAATATAGACTAGAAAGGACAGTTGACCTCTGCAGTTTATTATGAAGCACACTTACTTGAGTAGAGGCTACAGTGGACCCTTGACTTATGAACTTAATTTGTTTGAAAGAGCTGGTTGTAAGTCAAGTTGGTCAGTTGAAGGCTCAGGCTCCTCTACACAGCCTTCAAAATCTCCTGTATACAGGCAAATCTCAGTGTCCTTAGAGAGACATTGGCCCAGGATTTCTCGATTAACCCCACATAGGAAAGGATGTTGTAATGTTCCTTCTGGAACTCTTAAGGGTTAAGTCTTTATCTGAGACGATCTGGAAGTCCAAGCAGCCAACATTCAGGTCGGGTCGTAACTCAAGACTTTGTAAGTTTAAACTAAAATTCCAGTTGTAACCCATTGTTCCTATGTCAGACCAGTTGTAACTCAAGGATCCACTGTACATGAAGACAAGAAGTCCCTATCCTGCCATTATGTCCCTCAGAATCTTAGGAGATTTCATTTATATCTAGTATGAGATTGTGCTCTATCATGAAAACAGTAATTGCATAATTCATAGAACTGACTTTTCATGGCCCCAATAACCAAGCAGTATAAATTTCCAGGTTGTGTTCTTTTTACTTCCTCAAGGGCTCATCAGTTTTTCTTCTTTTCTCTGAGTGTAATCAGACCTGTATTGCCAGATTGTGAAAGCCAGAACCCTAACACAGCTTTTAAAATTTGTTTTTTTTTCCTTTTTTTTTGGTACCGGGGATCAAACTCAGGACCTTGTGCTTGTGAGGCAGGCACGGTGCCACTGAGCTAAATCCCCAGCCTAAAATTTGTTTTCTTCTTAAAGAATCAGAATAATACATTTGCCAAGATACATCATGTAAAGGTACAAGTTCCCAGTGATGTAACTGTATTTTATACCTAAAATGTACCAATAAACTTAATGGAAGAAAAAAATAGTAATAATACATTTGAAAGCACCCAAAAAAAACCTTTGAAAGCTTTAAAATGCAGGCCTAAAATCCTCTTCCCCTGTATAATTTCTTCTCAGGCCCCCATCTGTCTCTTCCTCAAGGCTCAAAATGTCAGTTATACTATTATGCTCTGTTTTATTGTGCTATTATATTTTCTTTTTCTTTTTTTGAGACAGGGTCTCACAATGTAGTTCAGGCTGGTCTTGAACTCACTATGTAGCCCAGGCTAGCCTCGAACTCTGTGGCAATCCACCTTCATTAGCCTCCCAAGTGCTGGGATTACAGGCATGTGCCACCTGTCCTAACATTATTTTGCTATTTTAAATCATACCATACATTCAAACCAGTATGGAAAACAATGCTAGTATTTCCTTATTTTTATTTTAAAATGTCTTCTAAAGCTTCAATTTTTATTGTTTGTATATTTAAACCCTTACAGTTCTGTGGGAGTTTTGTAGAACTGTAGCAATAATAAAAATCTTCAACATGAAACCTTTTTGGTTTGTGCATTTGGTTGATAAATTAAACTTCTTAAATTTTATATATTAAAATATAACGTTAAAAGGTACAAACCCGCAAAATGAAGATAAAAATAGAAAAGGAAGGACCAGAGAGGCTGGGGATTTAGCTCAGTGGTTCCACTGCCTGCCTTGGAAGGACCAGAGTGTACATGGATCATAGGCCACGGGATACCCTCCATCTCTTTGCTGCTTCTCGCCCAGGCCACCTGCCCTCTCTCCCAGTGTAGCTACAACCAGCACCGCGACAGCTGAGACACACACTCTATCCCTATCCCTCCAGGGGCTGTGCTTCCCCTTGGATTAGAAGAATCCAAGGAAGGCTCTTGCTCCCCTAGACTGTCTTACTCCCATCCTAGGTGTGTATGGTGAGCCATTCCCTCCAGACCTAAGTCATCAAAGGAGAGGGGATTGCTTTCCAGAAGGGGTCATGGTGTCAAGAAAGGAGGAGAGATCCTGGGAAAAAGGAAAATGATAGGGGTCGATAGCAGACAACTGTTTTTCTACCTAGCACACAGCTGTGTCTACACATGCACACACACCTTTGCAGGAACGCTTCCACTTCCAGCATTTTCCTCCTTTGCATAAGGCATCTGTCTACATACATCTGCAGATGCACTCACACCTCTTTAAGTCTTACCTACCTCCTGTGGGAAGCACTGGGCCTGGGTGTCCAGGTCGAATCCATCCAGCTAGGTGGGCATGGGCATGTTTTGTGATTTATTAACCCATTAAGCCATGCACCAAGTAAAGATCTGCAGATAGGGGATTGCATTTGAGAGACAGAAGGAAAGGAAAGTCACAGGCAGCACAGCAAATTAAGCTACATTTGCCTGTCTTTTCTTTTGAAACAGCACTAAATAACAGTCACACAATTTAAAAATAAAGTAAAAGCCCAGAAGGACAAAGAAAAATGGAGGAGACAAAAGCAACAAAATTTTGGAGCAGCCAAGCAAATGAAAAATTTAAAAGACCAAAGCAAATGAAAACCTAAGCTGATAAGTCAGAAGAAAGCCATCTCCTGGAATTAGAAAACCCTGGACCAGGGATCTAAAGTTATTTGCTGGTAGCTTCTGGAAAAGGTAGAGGGTTGAGGAGATAAAGCCACAAACTTTTTTTTCAGGCGGTCCCTTAGAAAAACTCTGTAGTATATGTACAAGTATATGTACAAGTATATTCCATCACACCTCCATTTGGTTAGATTTGATTTTAGACTTTTTTTTCCCTTGCCACCTCATTTTTACTTCTCTTGAGGGTTAAATAATGTTTATAATCCTGTTATGTTCAGTTTGTGAAGAAATACTGTGTTGGGA